ATTTGTAAGAGTTAATTCAAAAAGGGATTGTGGCTGTATTGAAGGCAGAAGGTGGTCCATAGTAATAAAAAAATTTGTACAATATTTGTAGTGTTTTCATTATTTTGTGCAAACCCTGTACATCAGTCCTATAGTTCCTCACTCGGTCCATGTATTTCATTTATTGGGAAAAAGCTAGTGAAATCTTTCTCGCTCATAATCGAGAATACATCTGATCTATATCATTGCATCGTTCTTTAATAAGTATGTAATTTGCTGGTTGTATATAGTGGCATTTGCAAGTTCTTTTCATACGCAGTACAATCCTAAAAGAGAACAGTTTGATCACAAATACATTTAATAATGTAAATATATTATAAAGTATAATATAACATAAAATTTCAACCACATGCCTTTCAAATTTGTCAGTTTCAATTTTCACAAGAAAGAAAGGCGTCCCACGCAATAACTACTGTTCTTGACACCTTGTACCTTTAGATATGATTTCCCACAAGTTAACAGCATCAAAGACCATATAAAGAACACAATTCCACATTCCATGGCCTTTTTATTTACCATCTTCTCTTTCTCTGTTAATGATATCTTCTTTTTTTTTTTTTCATTCTGGTCCGTCACACTAATAATATTATAAAAGATAAAACAATTCCGTCCAATGTGACTGGTGAAGTTTTTAGTATTTCAATTCTTCATGACCTTACATGTTTCGGCCCTTAGAGACCATCATCAGATAGACCTATACAGTTTGGAAACCGCTATTACAATGGGTGTTCTGAATGTTAAAATATATATACGTACAATTTTCACAATACACAAATTGATACAAAATCCGAAGTTTTCACAACTACAGCGGCTATCTTCATATATTAAAAAAATTTAAAACTTGTTATATTATTTAGAATTTATAAACCAAATAGGTTCATGTCATCTCTCTTATCACCTCTCTTCACGGGGGCCGAACTTGTGCCGCCTGTCTTTCTTGAGAAGACAGCCGTTGTATTTGTGAAAACTTTGGATTTTGTATTCATTTGTGTATTGTCAACATTGTATTTATATATATTTTAAGATTCAGAACACCCATTGTAATAGTGGTTTCCAAACTGTATCGATGTCCATCTGATGATGGTCTCTAAGGACCGAAACATGTAAGGTCATGAAGAATTGAAATAAGAAAAACTTCACCATTCACACTGGATGGAATTGTTTTATCTTTAAAATTAATGATATCTGTTTAAAGACGTACTTTTTCAAGAAACTGGACGAATAATATGCTGGTGCATTCGTAAAGGGCTGTGATGGTAAGGAACGGGTTGTCTACGCATGCATGTATTGCATTTGAGCTAACCAAATATTAAAAAGTAATAAAAATCCTATAGTTTCTTTCCATATTAAAGAAATCCGGTTAATTTCCATGTATGTGTCCGAAATAGCTATCGTTCTGCATTACTTCACATCGTATTGTGTGTTGGTATTTGCAAAAAGAATAAACACGCGTAATGAATATTCACCGTGCCACCTGATCATTTAGGGCACGTGAAGCGCACAGCACCGGAAATCAAGAATGAAATCGAAGTTGGGATATGTGTGAGCCTTTGACATTGAAAGGAAGTGGCTGTATATTTCATGGAAATTGGAGAAGAGATAGCAAGCTATAAGAATATTTTATACCATTTTCTTTTGTTTATTGACTTGTTTTCAAAGTAGGTTTCTATGTTTTGTATTTTCGGACGATCTCGAATACAGATTTGAACATGAAAGAATATTATGATATGAACGTTATTGATTTCCTGTTCAATTCGTCATAAATTTTACCGCAATTATTGCAATATAAATTCAGATTTTTGCAAAGAAGTCTGGCTATTGAAGATTAGAGTAAAGAACGTAGACTTAAGTCTGTACTTTGACAGTGCAATTGAATTCCGACATTGACACAAAGGCCACATGTCAGAATTTATTTACAACTGTGCCATGTGGATTGAAATATCTCGTTAAATGTGCACAGCTTCCAAATTATAAGATATAATGTATTTCTAATGACACACACTCAACAGGAATTTACTTCTGTGTTCGAGTGGCATGGTGTATTTTCGGGAACATGATATCCGTTGACACAGACGGTCGGATCGTGAACCAACTCATCCCAACCTAGTGTCTGCGTTACTTCATTCAGTCCAAAATCATTTATTTTCCCAAAACCAATCTAAAACTTTAGAGTCAGAAGTACACAAATCTGAGACGTAATTTTGTATGGATATGAAATTTGATTTGGCAGTCGAAGGAGAAAACATAGATTGAAGGTGTCTGAAAGTAGGGTGCAGAATAGAATATTTGAACCTACGACAGAGGAAGTAATAGGATGATTCGAAAAACTGCATGATGGAGAGCTTCATAATTTGTACCCTGCACAAAATTGAAATATTATTGGAATGGAAGAAATCGAGGAGGATGGGGTTGGCGGGATATGTGGCACTAACAGGAGAGACTACAAATGCTTACAGAATTTTAGTTTGTATGAGAGATATCACTTTGGAGACTTAGGATTTGACGAAGTGATAAGAATAAAATGGTTATTAAAGAAACAGTGTGAGAATCTAGGCTGAATTCGGGTGTCTCAAAGTAGGACCAAACGGTAGGCTCTTGTGAACACGGTAAGGTTTTAATGGGAGTATTGAATTTGTGAATCTGGCAATTTTTATGAAAATATGCCTCTTTTTAATGTTGAACGTCGCGTTTATCTTGGAGTGAGGTGACCGCTTGACTAAGTAACAAGCAAACTCCATAAAGTCCTTTGAGAAGCTGCCAAGCGCTCAGATGGTCAAGAAAGTTCCCACCGTTCTTGGAACCAGTAAGTTTATTTTCATATTTATGTGAATCCGTCGCTGAACCCTGACGGGAACAAAGGAATCCAGCCCACACTATTACGGATTTTTCCTTAGGATCAATATTAATAACTTATTCTGCTGTCTACGCCCAGGTCTCCCAGTTGGTCTCTTTCCTTCTGAATTTTCCAATAGACTTTGGAAGTGTTTCTCGTGTTTTATATCCACGATACATTCTGCATCCATATTATCTTCCTTGATGTGATTACCCTAGTAGTATCTGGCGAAGAGTATACGCAATTTTATCCATCCCCCTACTACTTCTACATTATTAGCTTCATATAATCATTTTAGCGCCCAATTACCGCCCTCAGTTATTTTCTTTATGTTTTTCCCTTATGGAAGACGCGTATGAAACTGGTATTTTGGTGGTGGCTGTCTTATGAAACATTCCATTAAACTTGTGATGTTCTGTACATTGCAGGGTTAGCCTTACATACATATTCCGCGGCATGTATTTGTGTAGAAAATCACATAGTGGTCACAGAGCTGAGCCATGAGGATACGTTTCCAAAATGTCGGAATTCACGCTTGCTAAATTGGTCCTGCACCATTTAAAACTATCTCCCTTAAGAACTAAGTTTAAAGCCATATTTGCAAACTTCAAGGCATCTACGGCACCTTAAGGATGTTTACAGTTCTATGTTGCTTATGTTTAGCTGTTGAAGCAGCATCGTTAAATGTTCTAAGGTATATCCTTTGAAATTCCAAAAGTTTCTGTATGAAATTAGTGCCTCCATTCAAAATAAAATAGCCCGTATAGCATATGTGGAAACGACATTCAGTGACAAATGAGATGATAGAGCAGAGTTGAGTAGGGTTTTCATGGAAGCGGTAGTCACCAATTTTACAGTATTGTGCCGAAATTTAAGTGGAAGAATTGTGAATGAATACGGAATATCTCAAGAATATCTAAAGGAAATCTCCAGAATACAGATCAGTTGCTTTACCTACAAGTCAACGATAGAAAGTTCTGCTGTTTCTATCTAGTGATCAGAATGGGAATAAATGAAAGAAATATAATTTGTTCTTGGAATATCTGTGCATATGACCACTAGTTTTTCTATGAGGGCCGGAACAGAGGAGGCGACTCAGGCTTCATTACCATACACGAAACCAAAGCAATTTTCGTTACACATCTGACACATTTGCAGCAGCAGTAACAAACAGTAAAATGAATCAGAGCATTCGAGTAATATTTCCCCCAAAGGTGTCTCCACCTTGCCGTGGTGATGGAGCTTACGTGACTCTGTGACCTGAAGAGCTATGCCGGGGTAGTTTAACTATTAGTAGGTCACCTCTGCTAGAAAGGTCAAAAGGTAGAATCCAGACTAGGAGAGATACCATGGCCCTCCAGGTTGGGGGTTGGGCATGAGGCTAACAACCTCATCGTGTATAAAGAATTTTGTTCAGAAACCTAACAACCAGCCTCGGGTCATCATGCGTGGATCCATTCCTATGGCAGCACGCACTGGTTGTGGAGACTGGTAGTAGAGGAGGCCAAGGCTCACCCAGGGCTGTAGCGCCGTGTGGTAGGTAGGTAGAATAATATTTCATGTAACTGAAGGTTATACGACTAGGCTTATAATATAGTCACCCAATTATTTTTCGTCTAGATATGTCATTAATATACAAGTACTTTGGCATCTTTAAATTGAATGGTTTGTAGAAACAGTTCATCACGATAGATTACGAAATCTAATCCAGAATATAAGTCGTGTCGTGTACGCAAGCTTAACGTATTAATCAGAACATACAGACTGCAGTTTGCCTATTTCGGCCATAGTTTGGGTGCTATAAGGCACAGAAATTCTTTGACAATATTATTATTGAGAGTTGGAAAGTGAGGGCGCAGAAGGAAGCCATGATGGGCTCTGCTAAGGTTCCTTCCCAGTGTTCGCCTGAACGGACTGAGGAAGACCATGAAATTCCAGAGGACAGCCGAACCTTTCTTTTAGCCGATAGGATAAAATGTGACCCATTTATAGTTTTCTGACCATAATTTTGATGCCTAATTTGATTCTAAATAACACACTTGATACTAGATAGTTAAAATACGCATAGAAATTGTCAAGGTACTAAGCGATTAAGGAGTGAATCAATTTATCGGACTGCTCTGCCCCTGTGGTGATGGCGCGCTGATCGCTGGCGGTCAGTAGCTCCTCGCACCTGGCGCTGTGCAGCCGCCTCTGCTCGACTCGGACTCAGTGTAAGTAACCTGAAATTGAACTTCAGTTATTTCTTAATGTAATACAGAATGCTGTTCCTTCAATACAGAAATATGGATTTAACTATGCTTGCTACGAAGAATAATGTTAAAATAAATCTTGAAGAAAAGTATGTGAAAATGTGGACTGCATTTAACTGTCTCAGGTTAGGGTACATTTGTTGCCTTTTGTAAGCAAAGCACAACTTTCGTGTCCCCTACATAGAAGAACTTTAGTATCTGAGTAATTATAAGCTTCTTAAAAAGGACTCTGCTCCATGTAGTTAGCTTAATTTTTTACTATTTATTACAACTGAGGAATTGGTAACATTAAGGCACACCACAGTAAAGAGCAGTGTTCCGTTCTCCAGAGTACAGTATCCCTCAGTAACTAAAAATGAATACTTGACGATCCTTGACGAATATAGTGCAAAAACATATGACTCCACCTTAGCAAACTTTTTGAAAGAAGAAGAAACATGTTATAAGTAAGAAAAGTAAAGCTATCCCTGTACCAGGCCGTGAAGGCCCATGGGGTTCTGAGACGTTGAGAGTCCCACATGATCTAGACAATCAGCCCAAAGATGGCGATGAGGTTGTCAGCCTTACGCGCGAGCCGCGCTTTACTCCCCAGGAAAATTATTTAATTCATTCCTTGTACTCACTTCTGTTAGAGGCTGAGTCGACCCCAGGGCCATAGTGAGGCTGGAAGGATTAGGTCAATTGAAAAAATCCAATAACCTCATCGGGATTTGAACCCGCCACCTTCTGGCTTGTAGCATAGCCCCTCAACCAACTACGCTACCGCGTAAAACAAGTTATAAACTCGTTTAAAACTATACCACCGCGTGGCCCCATTTTCAATGCATCATCGTAAGTAATATTTTTAGCCACATAATTCTTGCACCAATATATTCGGAGATTATATACATATATATAATATTTGTGTGCATATGTGTATGTATGTGTGCAAAGCAATGAACGGGTAAAACAAACTTTTTCCCCAGAACTGGAACCACCCCCTACTTTCTCTAGAGCCTTCAGTTTTGATGTTGACCATCTAGACTATTCTTTCCACTTTTCTCTGACTGTTGGTGCGATGTAGTTATGAAAGGAATCAATGACTCATTGCAACACAGATCGTAGTAAGTTCCTTTCCAACAAACAACGAACTAGGCGTCGTTTGTTCTTTGATGTTACATAAACTCGGTTACCCTAGCATCTTTAAATGAACACAAAATAAGCAGAATGGAATCATATTCTGTAGTACACAAATCTGCATCTGAAATGTCTAACTATTCATTTGGTCTGGAAGGTCTGGAAACCTCAGTGAAGGTTTTACGAGTGCAGTTGCTCCCTGGGAGAAGTAGATAATGTTTTAGCTTAAAGCTACACCGCAGAATAATATACTTCTGATATCACTCTTTATAAAACTGACTGTAGTAATTATTGAGGAAAAATCCATCCAAAATGTGACGAAGTTCAGATGTTTGAGATTGACGACAAGAAATGAGTTCATGAAGAAATTAAAAGCAGATTAAATTAACATAACACTTGCTACAATTCCTTTCAAAATGACTTGTCTTCCCTCTGCTGTCTATACACGTAAATATTTGGATGCACAGAACTATATCTTTGCTTATAGTTTTGTATGGACTTGAAACTTGAACTCTTACTTTAAAGAAACAGCATACTCGTAGATTGTGGGCGTTTGAGAATAAAGTGCTGAAGAGAGTTTTTGAATCTAATGGGGGCCAAATAATCAGAGGCTGGAAAAATTGCACATTAAATTGCCGAGTTTTATTAGAATAATCAAATCAAGGAGGATGAGATAAGCGGAGCGTAGCACACGTTGGATAGAAGAAAATTGCGTACAAAATTGTGGTAGGAACGCCCGAAGGAGAGAGACTGTTAGGAAAAACTAAGCGGATGTGGGTGGATAGCTCTAATCAGCAGTGCGGCTAGTCCCCTGAGGATTACCTAACGAGTAATCTCTCGAACATGATTATAGCTTAGTATCTTATTTCAGGAGTAATATTCATTTATTCAATGAGACTAGTTTTAAGTCCCTTATGCAGTCACCTCGTTGTGAAAGGCCTAAGTGCTGTTTGAAAGTCAGAACTGTTCAATAATATGAATATAAGATATGTTAGCTTTCGACTTTATTACACAAACCGGAAGTGGGTAGCATTGCGCGAAGTCTTCAGGAACTCCTGAAACCAAATAGAATATTACACGGAAAGTCTGAAAGCAAGAAACACTTGGAAGACCTAGCCGTAAATTGAAGATTAATTTTAAAATGAATCTCAAGGAAATAGGTCATGAGGGCGTTAACTGAAATCAACCGGCTCGTGTAGTGTCCAGCCGTGTTATCTGTGGGTCCAGGTGACGGGCTCAAGTGGATACAGCAATGAAGTTTCGTGCTCCGGACTAGGCATGGAGTTGCTTGAAAGCCTAAGCGACTAATCAGCTTCTTAAGGAGGATTTTTTCCTCCGTAATTACTTGCTTATTGTGAAGGAACCCTGTAGCTGTGGCAATATAACCCTTCCATCTCAAGGTTTCAAAGGCTGCTTTGCATTCAGTAGACAGGAAAATCATTTTGCTTCGCGAAACCCAGCAATTCTGTTTGCTCCCGGCGCCAGAGCGTCTACTTCTTATTGAATTAATCTCTCTTACATCTACAGAGTTGCAGAGGAGGAAGCCGCAGTTGTTGTAATTTTGTTCACTATAAAGTACAGCATTTTTAAAAGCAGTGGACAGCTACTCTAATACTGTTGTATGGAACAAGAGAAATTTTATGCATAACTGTTCATATTGTGTTGTATCCTGTCTCTGAAAGCACGTCCATACATATCGCGATAGTTGGCCTACACGCGTACCGTATTTTGCTGTATCCATTTCCTGCAAAACGACTTGACATCTATTAAAAATTGCAGTTACGTTCCTAAGAGAACATGTTATGTAGCGATATTGCTAGTACTAACACCAAGCTGCGACTGTAAGGACGCAGTGTTTCGTAACGCCATGCAACAGTACACAATTGTGCATTAACCTTTGAATTGTTATTCCATTTTAACACAGAAATTCCCCGCAAAATGCAGAGACAAATAAAAGCTCTTCGTGTGTCGAAATTATTTTGGAATAAAAGGACCACTCCCTAAGAAGATACATTCTAACATTTACGGGAACAATGTGAAGCATAGTAGGGTTTATGACAGAAAAATTTATAGAATTCTGATCTGAAATTCTTAACTGAGGTTATTTATAATATTAGCCCATAGGTTTTCGCGGCTGGAGCTTAATGTGTTGCTTTGGTTTTCAGGAATAGGCCAGGTCAAACATTGAGGATTTTCCAACGTTTCGGCAAACATTGCACTTGCTGTCTTCAGAGCTGATGAATTTTGGGAGTTCTTTTAAAACTCATATGTAATTGAAGCATTAGGTACGTATAGTTTGGCTGTGAACACGCGACGGAATGAACAGAAGAAGGGGATGCTGACTAATAAGGATCGACCGTGTGATTAGTGAAAAAAAAAAAAAGTGACGGTAGGTGTTCAGGCGACCAAGTGATTCAGAAAATAGGTGTGGAAAAGCTTTTTCAGCAAGCCCGTGTTCAGGACAGGAGATGATAGAAGATATTTTTCTACCTCTTCCTTCTTCTTCGTCGTCTTATCTCCACGTGTACAGGAAACAGGAAAGACGTGTGATTGTTGGACGAAAGTGGTTCAGTGGTGGGTTCGGCGGGGGGGGGGAGAGAAATGAAAGCCAGGATTTGTCCATTTGTATCCTTCTTCGTAGTTAAAATTATGAGGTATTTCGATGGTTTCCCTGACGAAGAGATGATGTTATATTTGGAAGTTATGTATGGTTTGTCTTCCATCGCATTCGGTGCTGTGTTTAAGTTTTGCTGACTGTTCGGCTATAGCTGATCACCGGTTGTTCATTCGTTTTCCTCTGATGTGTCCAGGAAACCAGGTCGGTATGTGGCAGTCCGTTTGGACGTCATGCACTTCGCAAGTTGTGGATGTTTTGGTTTAACAGAGGACAGGACAACGCCCTGCGGTACGCCTAACGCAGAAAGTCTATCATATAGAGAGATATCTGCGGGCAACCTCACACCACCCTCCAGCGCTTAAGATTTCCGTCATTATCATCGTGATAGACAGAGACCAAACAGCAGGGCGCTGAAATGCGACATGCCAAATCCGTTCTCAGAGCCAATATACACTCCTCTCCAGGACAGAGATACAACATAATATACCTGCCTTACTTCCCCGGCACCACCGACCGCATCTCCAGGCCACTGAAGAAAAAGGGCATTCTCACAACCCAGAAACCATTTAACGAAATGGCATCCCTCTTTAGGCCCACCAGGGAGATATAACCCGCGATTAAAAATTCCGGAGTTTACAAGATATTCTCCACACGTGGCAAGATGAACGTCTGCCAAACGGATTGCCACATATCCACCAGGATTTCGAAACACATCAGGGATACCAGCCTGGAGAACGTGCTATCATCGGCAGCCTAAGGCTCCGCAGACACAAAACACAGCAGCGGTTTAGACACAACAGAGTCCATAGTCAATAGCCGGACCTATCGACCCGCAGCATCAGGGAAGCAGTCGAAATAACAAAATATTGCCTAATTCTAACTGTGAGGTCGGATACAAATTAAAAAAGCCTGCTTTCATCTCTTCCCTCCGAAACCCCAGTTTTCGTCCGACAATCATACCTCTTTTCTATATATGTGGAGAGAAGAACGGGAAGATTAAGAAGAAAGAAGTAGAAGGCGGAGGAAACGAAGAGAGAAAACATTTTCCATCATCTCTTATTCTACACCGGGGGGGGGCGCTGAAACGCTTTTTTCCGGATCTTTTTAGAATGATTTGATCGCCAGAACATTTTCACCACTCATTTTCTTTAATCATGTAATCGCTGGCAACATAGTCACCCCTTATTAGTGATCTTCCCCACTCCTTTGTTCACCCAATCAAGGCTTCACATTCATACACTGCCTAATGCGACAACTACATAAGGAATATATAAACCTTTCCCAACGTCATTTTCCCTGATGATGGCAATTTCAAGGTTTGCCGAAACGCTGGTAAACTCTCAAGATTAGACGGGACGTATTCCCAAACTCCGACGCCATCCAGTAATTTTTTTTTCCTTGGCACTACAGCCCCAGTGGGCCTAGACCTACGTCCATGAACTCCGTTCACTTCGGTTTTTCTAGGTCTTACACATTCGGTAGGACTCCTTGGGCGGGTGATCAGCTCGTCGCGAGGCCTCTACTTGTACACAAACAGAAAAACGCACACAAATATGCATGCCCTGAGTGGGATTCGAACCCACGATCCCGACTTCCGAGCGAGCGAAAAAAGTGCATGCCTTAGACCGCTCGACTACCGTGACTGGCATCCAGTAATTTATAATATTATTTTATATTTCTGAGAATTCTTCTTTAAATATGCAATTGAGAGGAAATGCGGATGTGATCCGGTCAGAAAATATTTTAGCTCTGAAACCAGTTTCAAATTCTGTACGGAGTGATGAGTTTTGCTGCGGGCGTTGCTATTACTCACTGAACAGTAAAAAGGATATTGAGCATTGTGATGTGGTGAGGGTTGACGACCCTTCATAACATTTAGATTCTATGTCTCATATGTAATGCAAACGTACGAATATTGCCGAATCCTGAGAGATACGCCTCTTCGTAAAGAGAACTTAGGCTGATAGTGTGTGAATTCTGTGCATAACTTGTCCCGCATTTAAGCAATGAATTACAAAATTGCAGATCGATAAGCCGAAATAAACCAGTTCTACAGAGTGAATGGGGATCCAGTGGTGCCGATGTCAACTTCGGCAGATACTGGAACTGATCATTTCAGATTTTGCCTTTGTTAAAATCTAGGTCAGCTGTGTAATTCGATGGTTGAGAACACTCTAATTACTCTTCAGAAAATCCATTTTTGCTGTTACTTTTTGTATACACTGAATACCCTCAAGTATGGTTAAGCAGAGAATGATAACTACAAGAAATACAACTTCTTATTGACTTGAAGATTATTTTAAAGCTGAAATACATGAAGCCGGACGTCAGAAGCCTCTGAGAATGGAAAGAAGAGCTGAAGAACCGTAACAAATCTGCAGCAGTGGATATCTCGTTAAACTCACCAGGCGATGTCGGAGCAACTGGGACCGATAGCAGCTCACTTCTTACTGATACATAACTTTCATGAGGGGCACGCGGTAGCGTAGTTGGTTGAGGCACTATGCTACAAGCCGGAAGGTCGCGGGATCGAATCCCGATAAGGTCACTGGATTTTTCAATTCACCTAACACTTCCAGCGGCACTATGGCCCTGGGGTAGACTCAGCCTCTAACAGAAATGAGTACCATGAATATTTCTTGGGGTAAAGGGCGGCCGGCGCGTAAGGTTGACAAACTTACCGCCATCTATGAACCGATTGTCTAGGAAATATGGGAACCTCAACATCTCACAACCCTATGGGCCTCCACGGCCTGTTAACAGGTATAGATTTACATCTTACTTACTGGTATATAACTCTGTTGTAAATATGGCATCAAGCAGCGAGACGATTCGCCAGCTCTCTTCTAAAAGTGAAATACACCCTCTGTAACGAAATGTTCGATTTAGCTTACGAAGAGAAATACATCGAAATGTAATGGAAGTAATAACATCTTATCGAACAATCGGCAGCATCAATTCTGATCAGAAATGCAATGTTTCGGATATATTTCCTGAACCCATCACCAGAGAAAGCGTCACGTCATGAAGTGATTCATTTCTGTTCAGGTCGGTCTGAATGAAGGATAAGTTTCACTGTCGTTTTAATTCTCGCCTAAGTATATGCCGTTAACAAATTCGAGGATAATGAGGAGTGACAAAAACTTGCCCATTTTAAACTCTGCGGTTACTATAGGTACCACCCGCTTGAACGTACCAATATTCTGCATTATGACCACAGAGTATATTTGTGATTTTCCTATAATTCTAATTATAGACTTTTTCCCCTAACCAACATTAACTGGCGGGCGTTTGTAACAGAGGTATAGTGTGTGTCTCGTGGTATAAGAACTAAATTTTATGCATTATTTCGGGGCGATGCAACCTTTAGAGATTTAATGGAACACGTCAGCTACTAGTGAACAGTGATGCCAATTTGATGGATGGCATGAGTACCCCACCAAGACTTAAAAAAAAAAATTAGAAATAAATATGACGTAAACACAGAAACAGCAAACCCTATGTTCATGTTTAAACGCCAAAATATATGAAAAAATCACATTACGGAGACATCTAATAAATAGCATTTCAATGTGGTAATATTCATACAATTGGAAATGAAAAAATCCAAGTGATAAATCCATAATAAAATTAAGAGAGAATTTTAATGCTGCAATGTTACTGTTCAGGCCCAAATCTTTCAGCTGTGCATATCCAATCCATACAATCCAACAAAAATGTATACAGAAACTTTGATCCTTCCTTTTGTAAGAATGTGGAACTAGGTCTCTTTTTTTTTATTGCTAGTGGGGTCACGCGGTAGCGTAGTTGGTTGAGGGGCTATGCTACAAGCCGGAAGGTCGCCGGTTCAAGTCCCGATGAGGTCTTTGGATTTTTCAAATTTACCTAATCTTTCCAGCCGCACTATGGCCCTGGGGTCGACTCAGCCTCTAACAGAAATGAGTTCCATGAATATTTCTTGGGGTAAAGGGCGGCCGGCGCGTAAGGTTGACAAACTTACCACCATCTCTGAGCCGATTGTCTAGATAATGTGGGAACCTCAACGTCTCACAACCCTATGGACCTTCACGGTCTGTTACAGGGATAACTTTACTTTTTACTTACTTTACTTGCTAATGGGGTGGATCTAAGTCCCTTACACTGCTGCTACTTCTGGTCTGTTGTACCAGCCCCAGATGATAGGTGAGGGTGATTGTGGAGCGATTGGTGGAATGAAGATTGGCAGGGGAAACCGAAGTACTCGGAGAAAACCTGCCCCAGAGCCACTTTGTCCACCACAAATTCCACTTGACCAGCACCGGGCCGCCGCGGTGGGAAGCCAGCGACTAACCGCTTGAGCTATGGCGCAGCCTTACCTTAAGGAAAAGGAAGGATATTTTAGAAATAAATTATTCGAGTTCAATGATTTCTCCTCACAAGGTTTGCGATTGACAGGATTTGCACGACAGACAACTACCACTAAAGGACCAAGGACCAGTTGCTTGATGAGGACCCACCATTACGCTACTGTGTGTTGTTCACATTTGTACCGAGAAATGCCGATTTTTAGACCTGGTCTGAATACGAATTTGCAGGCCTAAATTACTGAATTTAATTCAATATCAGGATAATTCCTTTAAGCATTTAATTGTGGTGAGTGTTGTTTCTACAAATGTACTGGTACTGAACTGGATTAGCAATTGCAGATCAGATAAGAGTTTATATTGATCAATGATCAATATATTTCCAAGAACAAGTAATGAAACCAAATGTGTTAACATCTATCAGGATATCCTCTGAACGAGTTTCTTTCGCGTTTACTCTATCTCTTCTGTCGAATACCTAAGCAGAGTACTTAAATTATCCACAACAGCAGTGTCTTATATGTACCCTTGTTGATTCTTCATAATAATCTCAACATGTTTCAGCTGATACAGCGTCGTTAAAAATCAAGCAATCGACATCTACATTCAAATAGAGATCCATGAAACAGCAAAAATTATTTTTCTGATTCCGGAAGCAAGAAACGAAACGAGTAAATTAGAGGAATCGATTATTTCTGTGTTCTAGGTGAGCAATGCGTGGGTTGGCCCTCCTGCTGGGTGTGCTTTGGGCGTGTGGCTCCTCGGCAGAGTCTAGGGGCCAGCTGCTTCGGACCGTAAGTCTCCTTGTTTAACGCTAAAACTAGGGACATATTATATACTGTTATAAGAGAACCACCCGAGATTCGAACCTGCGTTCATACTGTTAAACAGTCATCAAAAGATGAATAGCTCCGTTATATTGCGATAATTGAAAGATTGTAGGATGCAAGGAATTTCTACAAGAAAGATATTCATGGATATCTTCCAAGTAAAACAAAATAATTCTGAACCAAGGAAAAAGACGTGATATATTATTTATTTTGAAATACTTGCATTAATTAATTAATTAATACTTATATTAATTTCGATTTTAAAATTTTTACATTGTTTGGACTTTTTTCTGCAGTCTCAAACAATGAACAAAGGAACAGAGCCAATTTACGTAACATATTGGTTCTAAATAAAACCTCGAACGACAGATGAAGTCTGAAAAATAGTTTTACGCAGTTTGCGGCTGTTTAAAAAGTCAGCTTTCCAAGGAAAACCTCAGCTCAGTTAGTGAGCTGAGTGTGTTTGAGTGTGCCGCAGTTCATTTGTTAACACTAATATTCCTGTAGTACCAGTCACAGTGGCTGCGCGGTCAAAGGCATGAACTGTCTTCACTCGCTCGGACGCTGCAATCATGGCTTCGAATCCCACTCAAGGCATGGATATATATATTGTGTACGTTCATTCTGTGTTTTAGTTGTTCTGTGTGTGTAGGTAGAGGCCTTGCGACGTGCCGATCCCCCGTCCAAGGAGTCCTACTGACTGTGTATAGAATCAAGAAACTGAAAGAGCGGCCAAAATCCAACAAGAGCTGTAGAGCCAGTAATAATAATTCAATTCAATTCAATTCAATTCTTTATTATTTATGTGCCAAGTCAACAGCCGCAAGGCCAATTACAGACTTAGCACAGTGTAGATGAAAGTAATTACATTATAGACAAACACAATAATAATAATAATAATAATAATCCTATAGTGAAGAAGAGAACAACGAATTTATTCTTCTGGAATGAACAGTTGCAAAGGCAGCAAAAGCAATGAATAAAAGTGAACGAACGTTGAGAAACGAGCGTAGGATATTCGAAAGTGCGTAAAAAGTGGAGAAAAACTTCAAAGTTCCGGAAAATTTGTCGTACCAGAAAAAAATAAATCCACTGGATGGTTTTGAGAGTTTTTATTATGCGTAGAAAAATTTTAGATTACTGCGAGGGAAGCAGAGAAATTCCCACTTTACGAAAAACTATCCTGTCACTAAAAATAAAACTGAATTTCAGAAAGGAAAGAAACTTTGTGAAAAATAATGAAAGGAACTGGGTTCACTTCTTACGAACTGTAAAACATAAGATCACTCTTAATTGAAAAACAGAATATCGTTGCTCGCCTGCATCGTACTTTTATTTAAATTTAGAGAAATTGTTGCGAAATTTGGAATTTTGCTCCATGTTAGTACTGCTTGAGAAAAGCGACGTAAAATAAGAGATAAAAATAACTCAATGCAGTAGAATTATCGAATGGAGGCCACATTGCAGCATCAGTGAATACTGTTGCAAATCGAGGTCGTTTGATTATATCAGTGTATGTAGTCCTTTACAGCAGATTCATTTACATGCAGGCTCATGAACGACTGAACTTGTTAGCATAAAACATAATGCCTCTTATCGCACAGCATCTTACCAGTACTGCCAACTTCATGCAAAACGTTGTTGGCCCTATCTAATGCAATAAGGGCAATCATTAAGGGCGAAACCATATGTAATGTAATGTAATATAATGACCTTATGGGTCAATCAGTGTAGTGACTAGCTACGGACTGGGCATCAGGGGTTCAATTGAGGAAAAGGGCAGGCGTTCTTAACTTCGCCACAAAGTCCGGATCGGCCTTGGGAATCACTCACCGTCCTATCAGTCAGTATAATATTTGGAGCTCAGTCTCGGGGTTAAAGTTTCTGGAGCATGAAGCTGACCACACAATTTCAGTTGTACTGATGTTAGGACTGAGAGATCTATACGTGCTCTTCCCCACAAACCTTTTTGGTGTGGTGGCTACCTACTGGCATGTCTAAATGCAGTTAAACTAACCCCTTATTCCAAGAAGATAAATTCATTTTGAGAAGCTAATCTTAGCACGTTTTGTCAAGATGTTCTTAGCATTTTATGGAACTCGAAGGTTCAATGCCACAGTCACAAGGTCCCAGTCCTGAGCAAAACAAATTCAGTTCACACTCTCCTATTCTTTTCTCTAAGATCCATTCTAGTACAAGTATCATCGTCTGCCTCTTCCAAGTGGTATCTTTTATTCATATTTTCGGACCAGAACCAGGTATTCATTTCTCATTCGTTCCCTACTTGCTAAAATTCCCGCCCATCTCATCCTCGGTTCCATCAGTATTTGGTGAAGAATGCAAACTCCGAAACTCCTCAACATGCAGTTTCTCCAGTAGTTGTCCCTTCCGCACTTCCACCCATATAGGTCCACATATTCTCCTCTCGATGACCCCTTTCGGAAACACCACCACTCCGTGTTCTCTTATCGTGACAGTCAAGGCTTCATGTCCATACACGTCGACACTGTTGTGTATATGTAATGGATACTTGTAATATATAGTACACACACAGACACACATACATATATAGTAACATATAGTTACAGCAAAGGCCTACAATACGTAACCACCTGTTCTTACTATTTAACTACTCGTATTAGATTTAATTTCTAGCCATACCCCACAAAGAATTTAAAATTAAAATTAAATTGCAATATTGCTGATAGATGTAAAAATGGGCCAATTTTAACGATTAAATGATGACTTATGTAATTCCTGAAAGCCACCTAATGATGATCTTGATAGATCGAAACATATAGTGGGATGAAAATGAAATAACCAGAATATTAAGTATTTTAATATAGGTTTATAATCAACTGTTGTATTAACGGCCCCTAAGTGCACTTTGCTAATCCCTTTTCATAATACACGTTACTCATATTCCCTAGAAAAAAGCAGAAATGGACAGTTTCTGTTAGTAAAAATCCAAATCGAGGTTTCAATAGCTATGATTTACTACGATTTTCAGTAAAAACTAGTCCTTATTAAGTTCCATTTTATTGTACATATTAAGCGTCCTTTGCGAAGCAGAGAACAAAGGAAACCTTACATGGAGGTCATTCCTATCGCTTATTCGTCCATCTGTAACCTAGTATCACAGTTTTAACTGATGGACAGATCATTTTAACATTAGAAATTTGGGACATTCACTAAAAGTTGCTGGGCAATTTCGATTCTCAGAGAGATGAGTGATGTTTCAAGGGGAGAAAGGGTAAATTTTGCGGCAACGACGGCCGTGTTGCTAGCGATGGATTATCGAGGTAAAGCAACATAAACAGGTAGACAGAAGGCGAATAATGTACGTAATTTGTTTAAAGCAGCTTACTCTCAGTAAAGTTGGCTCTTGCACTTTAATAAATAGTGAATGCATTACATTAATTTACAGGGAGTCGCCGATTCTACGGATGTATGCTTTATAACGATAATTTACTGCGGTTGCGAATTTCTAAGAGCTATATTCGAGAACCTGCTGATTGACGGCCTGCGCGTTCAATGCAATCTGACTTGAACTACTGAGCTTACTGCGATACCAACTCTGGACAGCTAACTCCACCACAACGGCGACCCCCACAAACTAACCACATTCACAAGCTTGTTACTCCAACTTTTATTCATTTACGACATGCCTACGTGGTCCCAAGAGCTGCAATAACAATATTTCCAAGTGATGAGAGAGCCCTGTCGCGAGGTTACATTGAAATTAATACATTATTTAATTGGATGCAAGGTAGTGATAATACTTAAAACTATGAATAACACAACTATTTGCAATAGATTGGAACCTTCCAAAAATACGTTAGGACAGTTCTCTGGTGACAGGAATTCTGGTTGACGCCTGCAAAAAATAATTCTGCTGCCGCTGGCTTGTTCTAGAAACGTCCTTAATAGGCTTTACCCGAGCGCAGCGGACAACGCAAGTTCCCACAGTTATTTGCGATAATTGTTGCGTTCCTAGTTACATCATACGACGTACACTTCTTTATGTACCGGTAACTTGTTCAATTCATATGTGGTCTCTACACAATAAAAACACTTGTATTGCAGCGGCAATCCGTATTACTTCAGAGTGACAACTTAATGTAAATATATGTAATTTTTATAATACAACAGGAAATTAATTAATTATGAGGATGGGGTGGTGGCACTCACATTCTTATGCATAGCCTCATTGCACCCTAAATAAACCTTTTATTTGTCAATCGACGTCACCCGCCATCTGTAAGCCTATTGTCTAGAAAATGAAAGAGCCTCGACGTCTCACAAACCTATGGAAATCCACGGTCTGATTCAAGGATAACTTTACATTTTAACTCTTGTTTATTGTCTAGCAATAGCCTGAGCCCCTCTCCTATGAGACCTATGAGAGTCTTAGCCAAGGGCTAGAAGAGTGAACTTTTGCAGTAACAGAGACGCTTCAGATTAATCAATCCTATTAAAATGTTTTATTAATCACTAACGACGACGAATTTAGGGGAGAGCATTAACATTCCTAGGTAGCAGTCGACTGATTTATATCCCATAATTCAACGTAGACATAGAAATAGGTCTATTCAATCTCACCTCCAATTACACACATGAAGTTTCTAATATCTCGCTTCAACTTTTGCAACACTGGAAGATAAGTTGAAGAGTTTGTTAGCTATAATAGAATAAATCATTTTTTTATATTCACAGTCTCCTGTTTGATCAATTTCATCGTGGCAAATGATAAATTTCTGTTTGCGTATATATGTCTATTAGTTACACTCCTGTTTTGCTAAATACAGAGACCGTTGCGCCAAGCAAACACTTCACACTATGTCAGCGAGGCAATTCTTGCCTTTAGACACACATCCTACTATATCAGTAAGTAAAACTCTACTCCTCACTGCAATATTAATCTAACTATAGAATTCCTAAATCTTAATACAATACAAATGTAACAGAGTTTTCATTTCAGTCTCCAAGAACCCACTACATCAATCCTAGCCTTCAAAGGCCCAATGTACTACACCAGTAAGTAAAATTACACCCTAAATCCCAATATTATCCTAACTACATAATTTATTGAAACTTTATACCCCTCGTAGTGTAACCTCGGTACGGACAGAACAGAAGACACCGCTTTCAACAGTTCTGCCATTGTTGCGTGTACACGTTGCTTAACGATGGTTCTGGTATTGTTGCGTTTTTACGAAGCTGTTTCTAGCTGCCCGGCCTCATGTTACAATATATTTTCATACAGTGGATAATTATTATATTTTAACAGATTCTGGCCCTTTTATACTTAGTCTTTGTAAAATTAGTCGGATCCGACGCACTTCATTGTTATTTTATCTACATATTTATATGCAACACTTCAACATATCTATACTAAAAGTCTATGTGCGTTTATTTGATTTATGTATGCCACCTGATTATGATTGCTTATGGTCTAAACATATGGCGTATAATAAGAAACAAGCCACAAAATGATGTTTTAATATGTCTGTGCCACAGTTTTCGTATGACTTTGAAGTAAACAAAAACAGGTTGTATTCTTACAAAAGAAAAATTTAAGGGATATCTGGGTGACTAACCCGTCTGTAGGGAACTTAGCATGGATGCTTTTGGATATGTAGGCCTCAAAATGACGATTTCTGCTGTAGAAGAGAACTTCTTCAGGTACAGCCTCAAGTCTGAAGGATCAGATTCACTTTCACTTCTTTCTGTCTCTTCGCGTTCACAGGGCAACGAGACTAGATATGGTATAAATAAGAATATGAAGAATGCCATCTTCTGGGATGTAGCGCCGTGTAGGTCTTGTGTGAACAGGTCTGCGGCCACCTGCTCACATTGGGTCCTCGTTCTCGGATTTTTTTACCCTGAAGATGGAGGCGATACGTTCCTCTGAAATGTAGGTTCACACAAGATCTACACGGCGCCACACCCCAGGAAGACGACATTCTTCATAGTCACCGACGTGATAACCTCAAATCTTACAAATAAGAATTTGTTCAAATGTAATAAAAATCGCAAATTTATGGACTATTTAGAATCCTCTGGGTTTAGTAGCTCCACAGCTGAATACACAGCGAACTGAAAGCTTTTCGGGACCTTCTAATACGTATGTGGGATTTCAGGTGCCGTTATAATCATACTGTAATGTGTATCATTATAATGGAAGTCACTTCAATGATTCTCAGGCGGTTCAAGCCCCACTCGTCCAGTACAACTTCATCTTCGGGAACCAGGAAGGCATAGCTCCAGATAGTGAACGGGTCGACTCGGAAACAGAAGCAAGCGACAACCAGGTAGATGAAGTCACAACCGTTGACGGCACTGAGGAGACGGCTGCAGCCGGAGGAGATGTAACTGAAGGAAGAAGAGTTAACGGTGGAGGAGGGAGTGGTGCAGGAGACCGAGCTGATGGCGCTGGTGGTGTTAGTGGAGGGGAAGAGGATGGTGGCGGCCCTGTGGGAGAGGGCGGAGGTGTTAGTGACGGGGGAGGAGGTGTTGATGGCAGTGGAGGCGGTGATGTTGGGGAAAGGGTTGGTGGTGGTGAGTGGTCAGGTGAAGAAGGAAATATTAAGCCTGGTTCAACAGAACAGGATACGACTCAGACTCCTTATACAGTACCCAGCACCAGCACATACATAACATCAACCACAACGCCTAAGCCAATTTCCATCACCACTGAACCATTTACCACCACCACCACCACCACCACCACTGAACCATCTACCACTACCACCACCACGACCACTGAACCATCTACCACCACCATCACCACCACTACCACTGAACCATCTACCACCACCACCATATCACCCACCACCACTACTAAAATACCCACTACCACTAAATCACCCCCCGTTACGTCAGAGCCACCAACCACCACCACTGAACAACTCCCCACCACCACCACTAAACCACTCCCAACCACCACTCAACCACTCCCCACGACCATTAAACCACTCCCTACCTCCACTAAACCACCTCCAACCACTCCTAAACCACACTCTACCACGCAGATACCGAAGAAAACTACAACGATCCCAGGGACACCAGGAACACGTGACGTTAACCGTACGTACAGTTTCGTTAAGAACCGTATTCTCTGACAGTTGAATATTTTCTAACTTCATTCCTACATTTACATTTACTCGTATTTACTCGTGTTTTTTCTACGACACCCTCAGTATCTCAGACTTTCGTGTCGAAGGGTGAAGGTTGGATTGGAAAGTATTTGGAAGGAAAGACTAATTGAAGAACTACCACAGGATTTGCCTGAAGGAACTGAGAAAATACACGAGAAACCTCAGTCATAATTGCCAGCGTTCCGTTCGACACTCGAACAGGGATCCTCCGGAATAAAAGTCAGAAACTTGAGCAAATTTGATCCGTCCTGGTGTTGTTAATTTTAATCCTAAACGTTGGCACCCTCGTACATACTTGCAAATCCGCACATATACTCGTATATACATATATATTCGTATACACATTTCCGTTAATACATACACACTGACAATACATACATACTCAAATCGTGCCTGTTTTTATGAAAGTGTTTAGACCTTCAGGTAAATTTGGAATTTTCTCCCCCTCCCCCTCCCCCAAAACACACAGCTGCCAAGCACGAATCAGATATTGAACATGGACGGGTCCTGTCCGCTGAGTTTTGGGGCGGGAGGCTGATCACTCATTTCCACATAGAGTCGAGAGTATTATTTACCTGTTGCTCCCTGTTAGCGCCCTCTTTGTTTCTAGTGTCTTGCGACTTCGGGATGTACCCCAACACGAACACCTGTGAGTGGGTTTCCAGCGAAGGCACAGCCCTGACCTGGCAGACAGGAACCGGGCAGACGTTCAACTGGCTGGGAGGCCCGACCCACGACTTCAGCTCTGACATCAACGGTGAGACAGCCAGATTTACTACAAATTCTGTCAGTTGTTCAGCTCGTCAGATTGTCTGCATATAGACATGTGTTCCAGGAGGCTACACGTTTGTGGAGACGTCGCAGTTCCCACTCCAACAAGGCCGAAACACCTACCCAGGGGCCATTTTGCAGAGCCCACTCCTTCACAGTACCGGGCCTCAAGGGTCCTGCATAACTTTCGCGTGAGTTTCAGAGAGTTGTATATAAACTTTTATGAGTTAACGGGCTCTTGATCAATAAAACTGTTATTATTCTAAAGCTTCTTCTTCTGAAGTTTATGTCGAACTTTCTTGACTTAAATATTTCGCAATTAACTAACTCCATGGAACTGAGTCCTTCTTGAGAAGCCAACAGTTATCCAGCTACTCAAGAACTTCCCAACATTTTATGGAACCCGAAATTTCAATACCGTGTTCATAAGGGCCCTATATTGATCTATATTCTGAGCTATACGAATCCAACCCGTACCATTAGACCCTGTTTCTTTAATAACCATTATTAATATTATCTTGTCGCCTACGTCTAGGTCTTCCTAGTGAACTTCTTCCTTCTGGCTTTCTGTTCTCCCCCATGCACATTTCGTACTGGATTCAAGCGCGTTGGTGTTCTGCGATGACTAGAAATTGGTAATACCTTGCCAGGCACAGCTTTGCTTTAGGCACTGAACTGTCTGACTGACGGCCTATGGTCTTTACATTACCCAAGAAAGTGTTTGTTTCCTTCCAGTCTCTATTCAAATATAATATTTTTCGAAGTGCCAACGTGGCAATAATTGCAGTGACTCTGAGAGTGCCAGAATGTTTCGCGCATGGACTGCCATGGAATTGAACCCAAGTCTCTAAGGAGATTTGCTGGAGCCTAACCCAAAATATGACGTGATCAGATTTCACTCCGCCCATTTCCAAAAGTCTTGCCAATCTCCCAGTCATTATGTGTATAATTTAGTGCCTACCCCTGAAGGATAGTAATACGACGTAATTTCATTCGGAAGGTTCCTAGTTCCGTCGTTGAGCGGAGCACCAGCCTAACTGATTAATGCCTTCATATGGTGAAGCACGTGGCCCTGACGAGCGATTCATAGAAGTACCTTCCTTATATTTACAGATACATGATGGATGGTCTTAGCCCTGCGCAGCTGCGCGTAATTCTCCAGATTGAAAGTCCTGAAGAGTCTGCCCGCCTCAACATGAGCAGCGGTAATATTTTATGGCAGGCCGAGTATCATACCCAGGGAGAATGGGTGCCCACGCAATTCCTCTACACATGCGAGGTTCCTCACAAGGCAAGTTAGGAAACAATGTGATATTTATGTAAGATTTGAGGCTTTCACGGCGGTGACTATGAAGAAAGCAGTCTTCTGAGATTTGGCACCGTGTATATGTGGTGTTAACCGACGTTTCACAGTCTGCTTTACCGTTTCTCACGGTGTTGTCGCTTGCAGATTTCTTATACTTTTTCTTCTACCCTGAAGATGGGGGCGATACGTTCCTCCGAAACGTCGGTTAACACCACATATACACGGTGCCAAATCCCAGAAGACTGCTTTCTTCAATATGATATTTACATTGTCAAAAATTCGCGAACCACTTTCTCTAGTGCAAAGTGCTTTATCCATTCCCTGATTACTGATTACGGAACCAGAATATTACTTCGGGCAAGCATATGAGGCGTTTAACAGACTCAGAAGTTTGACTCCGTTGTTTTATTGCCAGACACTAACATCATTTAGCTGAGTTCTTCTTGAGACGCTACCAGTTGTGCAGCTATTCAAGAATTTCCCCAAATTTTAGGGAAGCAGAAAATTCATTATTGTGTTCACAAGAGCCCTTCAGTGATCCCTATCCTGAGCCAGTTCAATCTAGTCCATACCACCACATCCTATCTCTCTATGATCCAATTTTAAAATATCCACCCATCTACTTCTTCCTTTTCTAAAAGGTTTCTTTTCTTCTGCCTTTCCCACCAATATTCTCAATTCCCCATCTCTCCATTTGTGCTAAATGCCTTGGCCTTGTCATCCGCCTAGACCTGATCATGCTAATTATACTTGGCAAAGAGTGCAAATTATTGTCAAATACTTCCCTTCCAATTAAACACTGGCAAAGGGCGCAGTACAGCTTGTGCTCATACATCCAAAATGTTAAATTTACTATGTGATGACCATTATTTCGAAGAAGTAAAACAAAATTATGTATTATACGGAACTATATTTTTGTCCAAACAAGTTTTCTGCGACTTTACAAAAAAATATTTTCAAGTATGCTAACAAAAATCAAATTATGTTAAGTGAATTGTGTTCAGTAAGAAATTGTTTAAAATCTCTTAATCCTAAACATAGAGAAGAACACAGTTCTTATATATTGTTATAAATACTTCATACAAGCTAACTCTCCGCTGGTAGAACTCGAAGATTCGAAACTATTCGTACAAATCTCATTAGTGGACATGGGCATGAGCCAGCAGCATTCACCACCAACACTCTCAATATTTTTCATAGAGGGGCATTGTAGGCTGCCAGAACAAATCAACTTGATCGACTCTGACTTACTAAGATGACACAATTGTAGATCTTTATTTTCGCTGGACTAAATTACAGTACTGTAATGGGAGAGAGGAATACACAAATCCCATACAAAACAAATGGCTCTGCTGTGGAAATACCATGTTGAGTCAGAGTCGATTCAACTTGACTAGACTTGATTCGGTTAGTAATGATATCTTCCATCGTCTTCTAGGTCTCCGAGTAGTCGACTTCGAGGAGATTCCTTCAATAAAGCACATGTTTCGATCATTATAACTTCATCGATTTTATTACATTTTCAGTACACGATAATCTGTTCCCCTTTAAATTAATATATAAGCAACTGCTGACTTCATCTCTCTGACGTTCTGATATATTTCTCTTGCACACTTTGTGAAGTGCTTTTCAATAAAAAAATCTTGAAAAAAAATCGTGTTTTTCAAGATAGCCGTTTAAGAGAATTGACAGTAAGTTCAACATGGTGATCGCGCGAAGTATGATATAATAATTGCCGTTGCAGATCATGTTCCAAGGCATTCCCGTGGATTTGAGTGATCCTTCTCGTCTGTATCGCGGTTTTATCGCAGTGGGCAAAATCCAACACAGCTCTGGAAGCTACTGCAGGGGATTTTAAGAGAATTGACAGTAAGTTCAACATGGTGATCGCGCGAAGTATGATATAATAATTGCCGTTGCAGATCATGTTCCAAGGCATTCCCGTGGATTTGAGTGATCCTTCTCGTCTGTATCGCGGTTTCATCGCAGTGGACAAAATCCAACAGAGCTCTGGAAGCTACTGCAGGGGATTTTGCAGTTTTGCTGCTGGATTCTGCGACTGGGGAAACGAGCAGGGAGATGATTTCGACTGGTCCCTTGTAAGTTTACTTGTATCTTGTTTCCGAGAGGCCCCACCTTCGAATCACAACCGGGAGGTCGGCTCTCATAGCTGAGTTCGTTAATGGTTTTTATTACTCCTTGCACGATACTCTGGTTTTGTCCTGAAAGCCGAGACGGTTTCCTTAAACATTAGGGTGATATTCCACTTAATAAGCATAGTTAAATTGTGCATGAGATAATTCGGGTTATAGGCCTGAATTTTTATGTTAATGAGGCACCGGATTCCAAAGTGTATAGACTTCGTCTCCGCTCTTGGCTTATACTACGAATAAAATTGTGCATTAATTTCTTATCTCTATCATGTATGCCACGACTGCTCTGCATGGTCCTACTTACTGCCACTGACTCTCTGCTGACACTCACCGTTCTATTTCAGATTGCTTCATGACTTCAGAGCATATTTACATTCTATTTTGGTCTCTATTTGATACATGGTTTTCTTTGCCATTATGTACATATTTTCAGAGTCGTGGAAGCAGAAATTCATTCACGGGACCTACTTCAGACAGGTATCCAGACAGATGTGGTGGAGGTGGTTACACTTTCATTGACTCCAGCTTTCCGAGAAGGCCAGGCGACTTGGCCCGTCTCAGTAGCCTGATCTTCCCTCCAAATGGTACGAACCTTGGCTGCCTTTAAATATAATATACACGTACTTACCTGTCAGGAGTTGGGCTTTGATGCCGTGAACGTCACGCAAAAGACAACCAATCTCCCTTCATGTAAAGGCACAAAATTTGCACTTTCCTTTCTCTTAACCCCAGTGACTCCGACACCTTCAGCAGTCGTAAAGAGTTGGCATTCTTACTAGGCCTGGTAGCATTCTTACTCGTACAACTTTCGAACTCTACAGAACCGAGACAGTTGTAAAGTAAAGTCAGAGCAGACAGCATTTTGGCCAAATCTGTGCCTCAGCAAGAAGCCCCCCCCCCTATGTGTCCATCTTGGAAGTGGCCATTGCCATCAAGAATGCCACCATACGAGAGTGGTGCCAGGGTACCGACCTGCTGCAGCTATGAGGTGCTGCTTTCAAACAGCTGTGCCGAAAAAGAAAGCTATCAAAAGAAGCAACACAGTAGCGGCACTCGAAGTACGTGCTGGTCGTAACTTAAAATCTCAGCATACTGGTATATGACCATATAGGTCATACGAAAACCTCATTACAGATGCTACGACTGCTCGGCACCACAAGCTGCTACCAACGGAGTCAGCTGTCGAAAAGTACAGTGATGGAGGCATGGTAACACTCGTAACCACTGTGCAACAGTCTGTTATGGGTCTGAGTTCAGCAGGAAGAGAATGCAACTTATTTCTTTCATGATGGGGAACAGTTTATGCACAATCATGTGAGAACAACTTTGGAAAGGCGCAACTGTAATGCACACAGTTTCCACATACATTATTTGCGTTTCTAAATGCTAGTACTTCGTAATGGGGAGAAAAAAAAACCTTGAGTACCTTCAAGACTGTATATTATAAGTATTTGCCTTATGAATTTCATATTTTGTGTTGAAGAGCTTTACATGACCAACACCATTAGAGGTGTTTGTGCTGGTACAGTTTACTGTGCGAACACTGCATGTACGAAGTGTACAAATTATGGCCCACAAGCCGGACTCGGCCGTCATCGGCTTCCTCTGTCCCAGGAGCTAGTGTGAACAGGCTGTCAGAATTCACGTATCCTTTCATTTTTAAATTATCGCCAATCTAAATTGTAACGCGATACGGAACGCAACTGGAGCGTAGAAGCGGGAACGTAATCATGTCGGTGCAACAGTATATCATTGTGATTGCAGGGTTGCATCTGTTTCCCACTGTTGTACTACGCGTGCAGGTATCATTCAGTTAATGGTTATCAAAAGTCTGCAGTCAACAATTTATTATCTGAGATAGAATGAAGAAAGTTATATGCGGTTCCGGTGGCACTATTATTTAACCCGAGAGTAAGATTCATGGTGAGGCCGCGCCATAACTCAAGCGGTTAGTCGCTAGCTTCCCACCGCGGCGGCCCGGGTTCGATCCCGGGTCTGATTAAGTGGGATTTATGGTGGACAAAGTGGCGTTGGGGCGGGTTTTCTCCGATTCCTTCGGTTTCCCCTGCCAGTCTTCATTCCACCAAATTCTCCATCATCATAATCACCCGGGGCAGGCTACAATAGGCCAATCAGTGGCCGCCGTGCCGAGTGAACCCAGTTGGACTCCACCCCCCACTAAGCGAATTAAAAAAGATTCATTGTCGTTGATTGTTTGAATTCCTTTGTTCGCTGAAAAAAATTGATTCGGAATCTAGTGTCTTTTGAGTTCGAGAGAGTAGTGTTAGTATTTTATTCTTGATAGATGTGAATAGTTGTCTTCGTAAAATTTGTGCATGCAACTGTAGAGAGTAGACAGTGAATACAATGTGCATAACAAAGACTGGGAATAAATTTTCTTCACCTGCAGTGTGCCAATTTGTGGTGACACTGTCTCCATTTTCAACAACACTTCGTTTCCAGGTACGAAGGATACTGTGTCAATTTATCTTAGGCGGAAGAACAAGGGTAAACAAATAGTTGGGCTGAATTTAACTAAATAAATAAGTGGTTTTACGTTTCGAAACAAGTTGCAGGAAGCATCGACTCGATAGCTAAGCATAATAAGCTGTTAAACAGTTTCTCCAGAAAATATAATAGCGTTATGAGAAAGCGATGTTAACCAAAAGAACAGTAGTTCGTAGTGTGGAAGAAATAAATCGTGCTTTCCTAACAGAGTAAAATTATGCTCTTCAGGTGTTTCTGCCCTCATCTGCAGCTTTGGATGAAGAGCATTGATAAAAGGGGGCACAATTCAGTTATTGATATGTCTGAGGGGCGTGGAACATAAGTTGATATCATTATTTAATTGCTTTTATGGAAGCTATGAAAGACTCAGCACTTGCTGAGGACTTGCACGAAAGGCTGTCTGCGATATCTGAGGCAGTGAGCTATGATGGAACAGGTTAACCACGTGAATCGACGAATTTGACAAGCAAAAACTGAGACATTTTGTAAAGAATGTAGGATGCTGTAATGGAAACATGGCTCAATCGGCGATTCTTTCACTGTGTTTATCACCCTTATGTACTATGCGAAATAGCTGTAGATGAAAGAGAGGCGGCAAGCACAGCTGTGGAACCTGTGCATTTAATATGAGCAAGAAGTGTGAATCAGAGAGCGTTTATATTCCTGCTACGAGCTTTGAGCCTCAACTTACTAATTTACCATTCCACCCCATTTTCGATATGCGAGAGTTCGGCACTTAACAAGGAGAAATGCTATTGCTGGACGTGACAGATAAAAATCTAATAACCCAATCACTGACAACCCCAGTCGACTTCCGGAACATCTAAAAAACTTTCATGTGATTCTTCATAGTAAAATTTTCCATACATTAAAGTTGTAAATAGAATTTCTTAAAAAAAAACACTGCTGTTAAATTTGGCCTCAAAGCAAGTCAAGAAAGATATATTCTCAGACTTTCTACACTATGACGAACACACGCGAGTTCAATGTAGTCGATAGATACCTTCTTAGTAAGCTGCTCATATATGAAGAATTCTGTAAATGATTCAAAACTTTCAGGAAAGTAGTAAGCAAACTTTACTGTTGTTTTTCTCTATGTCTTTTGAGGTTGAAGAGACGCCAGATAATTTTCAGCTTGAACTTACGGGCCTGCTGAGTGACAAAGGAAGAAAAATATATTCAGTTCTGTGAAGTGTGCCGATTTGTTGTTGTTCTTGTAAAATCCCAAATGCAGTAAATTCGAACACTTTGGAAAGCAGATTTTTCAGTTTTTGTGCCAAATTAACAACGGTGAACAGATTTATTTATGAAGCTGAACACATCAGTTATGAGAATATTAGTGAAATATGGTCATTAAACTGCAGTATAACACATTTCAGTACGTCATATAGTAGAAAAATTGAAAAATTTTCCAACAAGTCTAAGCAGCGCCATCTCTAGCAAATTAGGTAATCTCTGATAATGAGCCATACTGCCCATTTCTTGTTGATTTCAAAGATACTTAAGAACACTTCCTTCTCTCTTTACACAATAAGACTTATGACTAATTTCTGGCCCAGTAAAACGCATGTTACTTCTCATTCGTCCTTTCAGTGGTAAATATTCAATCAACACTACCGAAGCGAGTATGTTCAGTGGTCGAGGTATCATCCTTCACTTTTAAGGCTATTACAGTAGAACTTGGTTATAACGTCATCAAAGGGACCTAAAAATAGTGTCGTTATAAACGAATGTCGTTGTAACCGAAATGGGCACTTCCACAGTAGCCTTATGTTAAGTCACGTAAAAATCTACCAAAAACCGAGTTAAAATGTTGCATTTTTTTTAGTGAAATACGTAGTTAAGTACAGACTAACGTAACATTAACGTGGAATTGCCCAAATATGTAATATCAAAGACATATTACAGCGCTTTTCACTAACAATACACACCGCACTAATACTGTATATTAAAGGTAGGCCTACTCACCAAATTACAGTAGATTACATCAATTGTTGTGCCTTACTGTACCTAGATGCGAGTACAGTAATCAGTTATCTTCATCTGTTTCCTGTTACTTGCCCAATACACACTTTCTAAATTACGTTCAATGTCCATATCAGAGAAATTCAGGAATGAAAATGACGTTACATACGAGGTTGATGCATTTGTGCATGTCGTACTAAGCAAGGTATAAAAACAGTTGCTTTATGAGGAATTAGTTCGTACCATTGAATATTTGACGCAATAGACAAGGTGTCGCAGAAACCGATGTTGCTATAACCAAGTTTTACTGTATTTATAATTTGAATCTATATTTTAATAAAGGGTGATTTAAAATTAATTCTGTGAAGTAAAAATTATTCAACCTGAAGTTTTAATAGTCCTAATGAGTCCTAGCATAGGAGAATATTGACTGGGTGGCCATAACTTTCGGGAATAATAACATAAATTAGTCTAGCACTTTCATATCTAAAATTGGATTGTTGATATGTTAATGGGAGGTAAATTGCAGTTTTTCTAAATGCCCCATGAAAGTTTGACAGGGGTCAATTATTCCAATGCTTCCAGACCCGAACGCGCCATGGTGTTTGAGGTTCTGGTTCCACATGTTCGGACCTGTGGTCGGAGCCTTACGCGTCCTCCTCAGAGTCTACAAATTGAGTACTCCATCCCTGCGCCAGGTCTGGAGGCTGTCTGGTAGCGCAGGTAACGCCTGGTTCATGGCCCAAGTCACGGTTTCATCGGTGCACGACTTTCAGGTAAAGCAGTACTCATCTGCCTTTACTGAGGGCTTTCTGTCAACATCCTCCAGCTTCACTGGCCGCAAAGCTTTTGAGTCTGTGTAATTTCGATACTTGACACATCCTAATATTCAAAGAAACAAGTATGAAATATGAAGTGTTCATGGCAGTGGCAACACAGACTGCCGTGTTCCAGCTGTGTTCTTATGTAGACTGGTAGGTGCATACCACCGCTCTGGAGCAGCATACTGCTTCCATTTGCAGTACGTAAATCATTACGAGTATACTCAGAGCAGATTAAATTTGGCTATAAACCGGCAGCCCGAAATCTACAAATATGTAATTCTTTAGATGGCTGAACTGTACCAAGATAATGTTAAATTGATTGTCAGATAGTCCTTGGTCCGATCTCCGGTTCCGGTTCTTTTGTGCATAATTCGTACCTCGACGGGTGCTGCCTGCAAACTCTGAACATCATTTCTTCTGATTTATGTTAACATTATACTTGACATGATTCGTTGCGTCAGGTAAATTTGATTTATGCGATGTTTTATGAGCTGTGTTTACACATTCTTTCCTGTGTTGATTGTCATTACATTGACAGATTTGTTACGTTTTTATTTTTATATTTGTTATTTGTGACAGTAGAAATCGAATGTTTGGTATTTTTTTTAAACTAAGCTAATATGCTAATAATTGCACCACTGGGGAGGTCCAGAAATGCCTGTTTATAATTCTGTTATTCTTTTTCGTGTGCGAATGAAAATAGATTAAGCCAGACATCTACTCTCCCTTCTCCTGGATTTACAAAACAAAAGAAATAAATAAAAAGTTTGGAGATAAAAATTGAAAATATGATGGGAATATTCTAATATTACCTAATAGCCTCTTCTGTTGTAAGATAAAGGTAAAACTATCCCTGTAACAGGTCGTGAAGGCTCGTAGGGATATGAGATGTTAAGGGTCCCACATTTTCTAGACAATGGATTCACAGATGGCGGTGAGGTTGTTAGTCTTAAGCGCCGACCTCTCTTTACCCCCAAGAAGATTCCTGGTACTTTTTTCTGTTCGAGGCTGACTCGACCCCAGGGCCATTATGCGGATGGAAGATTTAGGTCAATTGAAAAATTCAGTGACCTCATCGGGACTCGAAACCGTGACCTTCCGGCTTGTAGTATAGTGCTTCAACCAACTATGCTACCGCGTGCCCCTCTCTTGTTGCAATGTACATTAACTTTCTGTTTCCCAGTGGTGCTGTTTCCTTATTTCTTGATAATCTCTAAAAATCCCTCAGACAACAAAAAAGTCGATCACTATGATCCTACAAGCAATGACCTAACTACTGTGAAAAGAAAAATTTCGAAATTGTAGTACTGAGACNGCCTTCTGCTGTCAACATCCTGTTCTTCGCTTACAGCCGTCCATCATTATCTCATGCGGCACCACAGGACCTCAGAAGTTGATACATCGAGGTATCGGCACGTTCGACACAACAAAGAAGTAAATTAATTTAATAAAATAGATTAAAATCAGCAAAAATATCAACAGTTTGCTCGATTTTATGTTCTCACTCAACCACTACGTATTTCGGTCTCAATGACCAGTATAAAAATATACTACTACAAAAAAATATCAATATAAGCATTATAATATTTATATATCGCCGTAAATCCGAACGAACAGAACTAAGCGTCCTTGCCATGAGCAAATTTATTAACGAAATTGTTTAAGTTTAGTTAAAGACGATCCAGAAGCCGGGATAGCGCAGTCGGTATGGCGACTGACTACGGGCTGGACGACCGAGGGGTCGGAGTTCGAGCACCGGTACGGTCAAGAATTTTCTCTTCTCCACGTAGTCCAGACCGACTCCGAGATCCACACAACTTCCTATCCAATGGGTACCGGGAGCTCTTTCCCCGGGGGAAAGGCGGCGGGGGCGAGAAGCTGACCACTCACATCCAACTAGTGCCGAAGTCAAGAAAATGTAGATCTATACATCCACTCCCCATATGCCTTCATGGTGTAGTGTTTAATTAGATAAGCGCAGGAACAGCTTCATCTTTTAAGGACGAGCCAGCAGTTGCAGACGCCTATATTCAGTCGAGTGATAGTGACTTCTCGACATTCCCAGTTCAGTACGATCAGTAAAGGTTTCATAAACGTAGCTCGTACTGAAGTGAACGGAGAAGTTCATGGAGGTAGGCCTAGGCCCACTGGGGCTGTAGTGCCAAGAGGGGGAAAAAAAAGACAAAAAAAAAAAACGTAGCTCGTCTATAACGATGCACATCACAATTATGAGAGTTGTATTTTTTTTCCTTGGCGCTACAGCCCCAGTGGGCCTAGGCCTACCCCCATGAACTGCGTTCACTTCAGTTTTTCTAGATCTTACACATTCGGTAGGACTCCTTGGGCGGGTGATCAGCTCGTCGCAAGGCCTCTACCTGTAGACAAACACAAAAAACGCACACAAACATCCATGTCCTGAGTAAGATTCGAACTCACGATCCCGGCTTTCGAGCGAGCGAAGACAGTGCATGCCTTAGACCGCTCGGCTACCGTGACCGGCATGAAAGTTGTATACCATTGCCTATTTCAAGGTATTTCCTCCATTTACAGCAACCTAAACGGCAATGAACTGAAGCGCTAAGGATGTGCATGTGATCCGCAGAGAGCTTTATTGCAAATACATAAATTAAAATTTACTCAGGAAGTTTTGTCTATCTAGTACCGAATTTAAGGCTGATGGAGCTGCAGTGTCACGCCCCAATATGTCTTTATGGCGTGATGGTGTATTAATTAAGTACATAAATAAATTTATCTCTTACAATTAAGTTTAGTGCTTCGAGCTCGGCTTTCGATACTGGTTAATTACGAAAAAAATACAGTAAAATCAGATTTCTGTTGTTCTGTGGCATAGTGAAAATTTCTGTTCCGCACATATCTATACTCTTTTGCTTCTTTCTCAACCAGATTGTTCTAGAAGCTTCAGTGGGCAACACAGGCATGAGTGATATCGCAGTAGATGACGTGATATTCGTGCAAGGCCCATGTCCAGGTATGTTATTTACAAGACTTACTTTTCGTGATCTTTGTAGCCCAGTTTGTACTTTGGCTTCCTCTAATCTTGGACTTAATTTTATACGCCCTATTTCCTTAGCAAGACATCCGTCTATCCTAAGGTCTCAATCTGAAAATAAGAGCCCATGAAATCCATTCTTCAAATGGGATTTGATCCTGCCATCCAGAGGTCTAGACCGCGCTCCGTCTAATTCTTAATGTTCTAGTTTTGCTGTATTATCTATCAGTCTGCAGGACTCACAACCGACAAATGCAACGTTATATGTGAAATTCTTTAATGTACCATGATAGCAACGATTTTTAAAATAATGCTTATAACCAAAGATGTATATCAGTTTGGCAACATGAAACAACTTTAAAACAAGTACTCGTAAAAATCCTTTCGTCCATCCGCCCTCTTCACTAGATTCGATTCCTTGTGTTGTTTATAATTTGTATCCTCTGGTTATAAGTTTGTCGTTAGAATAGTTTTGTACATTGCCTCTGTGGTCTACTGGTCAGAGTTTCTGGCTAGAGATCCAGAGGTGTGGGTTCGATTCCCGGCTCTACCAGATTTTTTCTGAGAAGTAGTGGGTCTGGTTCGGGGTCCACTCAGCTTCGTGATGATAATTGAGGAGCTATTTCAGGGCAATAGCGGCCCCCGTCTAGGAAACCGAAATTAACGGCAGTGGGGATTCGTTGCGCTGACCACGAGACACCCTCTATCCGCTAAATTTGGCACTAAAATTCGCCGACAAGCGGCGGTCGCTCGTTCGGTATAGCTCGCTTGAGGACTAAAATCACGGAGTTTGTTTGTTTTTGTTCTCTTTTATGTACATTAAAATACTACAATTCATTATTACACTTTCAAGATTGCTGTATCTGTGGCACACAAACAATTATAACACTCTCAATGCTAACACATGAACTACTGAACGACGTCTTCCTGACGAAACCTTTCGAACAGTCTTCACTGTGTCTTATATAGGCTCGGCACGGACCACATAGAAAACATGGCCTATATTGTTGAACAAACTTGTTTACTGCTCGTTGCCTAGCAATGGAAAGCCTTTTTTCTTATTGTTGGCCAGAATTTTCCTTCTCCGGAACGTATTTACCTAGCAACGGATATATATGTTACAATACATTTGGAACGCTACAGTATTGATTGACGGGAAAGATTCTTATATGCAACAGAGTCCTTAACCTCTCGCAGTGAATGGAATGTCTGCTCAATGGGTGAAAGGCACGGAAGGCAGCTTTACATTGATCAATGGGAGTAAGCATTGTTCAGGCTTCAATGCATCACAATGACATGCACAAAACAAAAACAAAAAGTTTCTTTTCAACATATTTCGTATTGTATTAGTGACGTCAGATGTCACACATGCCCGTATTTGTAAAGTAGTTCTGTGGAGAATTACCTCAGTAAGAAGACTATAATTCCAACAGTTCCATTACTTCTTGCAGTTCTGTTGTTAGTAATCAAATAAATTGGCGATGTTCCATTGCGTCAACTTTTCAAATCAGGCCAAATTGTTGATATTAAAATTTGATTTTTTACATATCCTGTTATTATAATAGTAATGATTACAATGGACTTTTCATTTTCTTTCATTCATAATAATATTTGTATACACGGGAAACTATTCCATTTAAGTTCCCATTGGCTTCCTGGATGAAACGCCTACATATTCTAGTTTCCCATTTAATCAATCCCAGAGCTACAGGAAAATTTTATTCATCACATTCCTTAAAATGTACCTCTGATACTGAGTAGTAGTCAGTAGTGCAGCACCAAATATATAGGAAGAATCCACCCACATTCGTGACATATTTTATCTCACCAAGAAATTAAGTGTGCGTTCCATAGCCAATTTTAAGAGCTGTCCATAGATGCTCGCATATAAGTTTCAATTTAGAACATCACGAAATAAGATAGCCTTGTGTCACGAAATGTGGTCATAAGTCTTCTTCTGTTACGTTCATTCCAGAATCCTACTTTTAGCTTACATTTCTTGTCAGATAAGGACGATTATTGCATTCAGATAGAGTATTAATAGTCACAACTTGACCATAAATACAGACACAGCTTAGTCCTAATTGGAAGTTTGTTCCAGTCGCCCCACAGGTGGCAGCACCTTCGGCTGGGGACTGCACATTTGAAGTGGACGAGTGCGGCTGGATCAGCAATAAGAAGACAAAGGGCCGCGACGGAATAGAATGGCAGAGAATGCCTACGAGAACTCAAAACCCTCGCTTCCGGCGCAGACCTCCTGGGATTAGGCAGGCTGGTGGCTATGGGAACGGTAAAATTATATTGCAGTATTATGTGCCCTCATAGGTTAGACTGTGTACTCAGTACGCTCAGTACTAACTGGATACTCGGGGTAAAACTGCTCACATTCTTATCATGCATATGTTCCGTGACTTGCATACAGGCTAGCTGCTTTCAATGTGTCGAACAAGAAGTATCTAGGACAACTTAATTATAGGACTGGGGCTAGAAGAGTTGGAGCCTGTTCTTTTATTTCTCCTTTTAGGCAATAATGCTTAGAGATACATTCGTAAGTCTACGTATGGCCGCGCCATAGCTGAGGCGATTAGTCGCCGGCTGCCCATTGCTGGCACCCGAATTCAATTCCAGGTCATGTTATGTGAGATTCTTAGTGGACAAAGTGGCACTGGTGCGTGTTATCTCCGAGTACTTCGGTTTTCCTTGTCAATTCTCATTCCACACTGCTCCACACCCATTGTCATCTGGGGCGGTACAATAGGCCAAATAGTGGCCGACGTACACGTTGGACCCAGTCTCACCTCACCAGAAGAAATTAAATGAGTTGAAATTAGGGCTATGTATAGTTACATCACCAGGTTGGACTTAGCACGTCACAAGGCGCACACAAACCCGCTGCCATATGTTCACGAGCCGAGATAGGTTCCATACCACAATCACAACAATTCTTCTCTCGGACACCGCGGTCAACAGTTTAATACACTGGGATCAGAAAGCTCAAAACAAGAATAGTAAGATGGACAGTTCATGTAGCACGCATAGAAAAAGTAAATTCTTACACGTTTGAGGCCGGAAATCTAAAGTTTAGAGACACTTGGCCTTAGACGTAGTGATAATGCGGAAACTGATATTAGAAAAATATTATGTGATGGTTTCGACCTGATCGTTTGGCTCAGGACAGAGGCAATTCGCGGGCTGTTGTGAGCACGGTGATGAGTCTTATGGTTCCATAAAAGACGAAAATTTTCTTGGGAAGAAGAGCTAATAATGGCACCTCTCAAAGGACTCTGTTTCCAATTAAATTAGTAACAATGGCGTTCTCCTGTCCATTTGAAATGAACAATGTGCGAGAGACCTGGGGATTCAAATCTTGTCTGTGACACTTTGGATTTCAGCTGCTAGAGGCTTGTTAGCCACACAGACTACTTCAGGAATTTCAAGAAATTTTACTACTAAGAAGTCGAATAGATGGGGACAAGAGTACGGACATCTGAGGGCCTATATGGGCTAGTAACATATGCACAACATCAAATCACTACAGGCGTCATTTGCAGGAATGATACGTATAATGAGGTATTAGGAAATAAAATAAAATAACAGCAAACCGTCCCTAAAAAGTAAAAAGTAAAAAGTAAACTTGCCTCTACCGCGAATTAATTAAGCACCACATCATGAATAATTATGAGGGATGCAGGTATAGCTCCGACATTCTTGACCTCGGCACTGGATGGTGGTGAGCGGTCAGCTTCACAACCCGGCCCCTTTACCCAAGGGAAACCCAACCGTACCCATTGGATAGGTGGGTCAGTGGGTCAAAGATTCGGTCTGGACACTGTGGAATAGATAAAAGTCTCTTGCCCCTATCGAGAAATGACACGGTCTTCCAGCTTGTAGTCCGTCGTTATATCGACTGAACTATTTGCAGCTTACAAAATACTTTTAATATAATACGCCTAACATTAGTATATGCCTTTAACCAAGCTATTTTAAAAAATTAACCCCGAACTGCAATTTTATCTTTAAATAAAGATGGAATATGAACCAAGATGAACAACTCAACGTAGATCGAAGAAAATTTCGCAACATGTAAAAGATTGTAATAGGACCTAATGGACGTTCTTGAGGGACAATATGAACTCTAATAGCAAGCGCCATACCAGATCTCTTCCGCCCTGCGCCAGTATAGGGATGGGATTAGTGCAAGTTGAAGAGGAACATCGCGGTAGGATTTACAGCCGCCTCGGGTTTGGTGTTCCGGATGCTTGGATTGTCCTGTGCGAGTTTTACTTATAAGGATGGATAATTTATTATTAATTATACCAGTAGTAATTAATTAGTTATTTCGGTGTTCAGGTACGGAGAAGTAAGAGATTTAAGATAACCAAATAATGAAGAGCTCCATAATATTACTTTTCATCAAATATTTTTAGACGATCAAATTGAGGAGGGTGATTTGGGCGGGTCAAGTTACATACTCGTACATGGGTCAGAAGTGAAAACATAGAAAATTGTGGTCGGAAATCCCGACGAGAAAATACACCTCAGTGGGGGTGGGAAGACAATATTAATCTGTCTCAAAGAAGTAGAAAGGGACAGATCCGTGAAATATGATAGGACTCAAGGTGTGCTCCTGTGAAAGCAACAATGAACCTTCATGTTCCTTATGAAGCCTACAATTTCTTGACTAACTGAGCGACTATTAGCTGCACAGGTATGATACTGCTGCATAGACCGATTTGATGGTGTTTTTTCTGACCTGAAATACAGACGGGCTCTAGATTTTCATGCCGCGAAAGAAAATAGAATGCTATGCCCTTAATTTTAACTTCTGACTGGTATAATTCATTGTAAAGGTATATGTGACTGGTAGTGTACTATGTTGAAGGCTAAGTAACTGACGTTACTAATCTCTCAATGTTGAGACTGCAAGTCGTAAACTCACCCTATTTCCATACGCCTGTAAGTTACTTCAGGCGTTAAAACTATTGACTTACATGTATATCTAGCGGTACCCAGCACAAACACTGGACATGGGAGTACTGACTATGGATTTTGCCATAAACTGGAGCTTATTGCAGAGAAATTGGCTACAGGCCTTCTCTGCTTTTCATAATCAACTTCTAATCTCGGTTGACGCTTAATGACCTCGACAACTGGTACAGCTTCGTTAAATAATCTACAAATATACTTATATATATATGTGAGTGTGAGCGTGAGAGTGAGTGTGTGAGTGTGAGCATGAGCGTGAGTTTGAGCGTGAGTTTGAGCGTGAGTGTGACCGTGAGCGTGAGCAGGAGTGTGAGTGATATATATATATACACGTTCATACTTAGTAAGCTGATTCGTAATTCCGTATAATAATTCTGACTTGTGTCTTGCAGAATATTACTTGAATCTCGGACAGAAGTTTTTGCAGCCAACCGTAAGCACAGCTCAGCTGATATCTATGAAGTTCTCAAGACCCGAGCAACCGCAATGTCTCTGTTTCTGGTGAGTAAGGGCGTTTGCTTATAGTACTGGCAGTGACAAACATGTAGAAGTATATTTTCGACCCTCAATCAGTGCCGTATATCCCAGAAAATGTCGTTATATATTAAAATATGCAACAACCGCCACGAAGTGTTTCGATTCTCATTGAGGTCATTGGATTTTTCAGTTTACCTAACCCTCCCAGCCGGCGCGTACGGCTGGCCCGAGCGCCATCTGTGAGCTGGTTGTATAGGAAATATGAGACCATCAACATCTTAGGACCCTAGGAACCTTCACGGCCTGTCACAGGGATACCAGTAGCTTACGACAATCACACGACTTCCATTTACTTTTCCTTATGTTTTCGTACTGCAGGACCCTGCACAACACAGATACTCCGGATGCGAAGTTTAATATGTTTGTACTGTTATATGAGCAAGTTGATTGCCTTTAAAGTACTATTAAGGAATTCTGATTGGTCAGAGAAAAAACACGCATAAGTAAGACAGTCAGACGATGCAATGGGTAACAATCAGCGCGATCTACCTCCATTTCCTCGGGTTTTTATAAACACATACGGTAAAAGTCTCATGTTGCGACATACATTCTGCAGTCGATGCAGCATTGTCACATACACTGAGAAAGGAGGTCAGTATGGGCTGGGAACCACAATATATGTAGGAATAAAAAGTGGCCCGGTTCCCATAATTTACAACTGGCCGGGCGCTGTTAATGATCTCCTTTTTGGAAATTCTGAATGATCCAGCAATATTCCATTCTGTGAAGAGGAATCTGCCCCAGCCAGCAGAATTTATATATAAATAAAGGGTAAATATATCGCTGTGACAGGCCACGGAGGCCCATATGTTCGTGAGACATCGAAGTCCCCCACATTTCTTAGACAACCGTATAACTGTGTAAGATTTGAGGTTTCCTCGGCGGTGACTTTGAAGAATGCAGTCTTGTGGGATGTGGCTCCGTGTAGAAATTGTGTGAACTGATGTTTCGGAGGAACATATCACTTCCGTGTTCAGGGTAGAAAAAACCGCGAGCGAGGAATCGATCGAGGAATTGAACTGTATTATTAAGTATAGTTATTTCTTATTTCTTAGCCGTATGTCCCTTAGCTGGAGCATTAGGTCATCACAGGACGAGAAAGAAAAAACACGAATATCCTTTCCTCAAGAGAGATACGAAGATATTCTTCCCCAGGCCTATTAATGTACTCTGGCACCCACCTAACTCGTCAGAATAATGCTGACCCCTGTCTCAGAGTCACTTTGTCCACCGAAAATCCAGCATGTATAGTCTTGGGATTGAACTCGGAGTTCCACCTATTGTACCAGTCCCAGATGATAGGTGAGGGTGATTGTGGAGCAATTGGTGGAATGCAGATTGGCAGAGGAAACCGAAGTACTCGGAGAAAACCTACCCCAGCGCCACTTTGTCCACAAAAAATCCCACTTGACCAGATCCGGGATCGAACCCGGGCCGCCGCGGTGGGAAACCAGAGACTAACCGCTTGAGCTATGGCGGGGCCCTCCACTACGTATTATCTCGGAATACTGAAAATCTGTTATTGTCACCGCCGTGACCACGAAGAATAATATCTTATGGGATGTACTCCATCCAGTTTCCTGACTTTCCTCGAAAATGTCTGTGAACATCTGCTAGACTACAAGGCATGGTATCCTAGACGGCGGTGTTCTTAAAAAAAGGAATAAAGCGCCGTGCTGCATACAATGTACACATTTGAAATGATGTGATATTCTACAGCAGGCATGTCAAACTCAACTTGTACCGAGGGCCACCTCAGCCCTATAAATAATAGTCCAGGGCCGCACTTCAAATAGAAATATACATTAGATTTTGATGCAAGGAAATTTAATTCTATTTATTATTTAGGAATAATTTCAATATAATTACCTAAAGTCACATATCTTACAGTTTCAAAAAGCAAGAGAATGCCATTTTTGACAAGTATCAAACAACTTTTCAATACGTAAAAAGAGAGATTACACAAGAAATTATGTTAGAAATAGCAAAACATTGAATTTCCTGCAGCCTGCTAATTTATGTCTGCGTGAGACTTGTCTTCTGGTCTGTTGGAAAATTGTCTTTACAAAAAAATATTTCTACTAAAATTTTAATATTGATTCTAATATCAATTAGCTCTAAAAGTTGAGGGGCCGCACTTTGTGGCTATGGGGGCCGCATGTTTGACACGGCTGTTCTAGAGTATTATATAGCTTCCGTATTTTTCAGGTACTTCATGTATGAACCTTTCATTGACATAAGTGGACCGAGCCTTGGTGTACTCCGCGTCTTGCTGCAGACTGGAGAAAGTCAAACGTACCTACCCTTCTGGCAGCTCACCAACAATCAAGGGCCCACTTGGAATTTTGGCCAGGTTCCCATCAGACAAAACAACAGCTACCAGGTTAGAGGAACAACAGGCTGCAGAGTCACCTACTGGACAGGGAGGAGAGGAATTCCAATTGCCAAGAAGGAATATCAACTAAGCCACTCACAGAGACATACGTAACTGTAAATACGAGTAAGAGCCGTTCCATCGCTCAAGCGGTTAGTCTCTGGCTTCCCATAGCGACGGCCCGGGTTCGAGCCTGGGTCTGGTCATGTGGAATTTGTGGTAGACAAAGTGGCGCTGGGGCAGGTTTTCTCCGAGTACTTCGGTTTCTCCTGCCAATATTCTTTCCACCAATTGCTCCACAATCATCATCTATCATCTGGGGTGGTACAATAGGCCAATAGTGGTCTCAGTACCAAGTGGACTAAGTCTCACATCACTAAGAACAATAAAAAATAAAAAACCATAAATAAATAATCTCGCATTTACTTGGTATTATTGTTCCCAGGTAATAAACTGTTAGAATACATATTCTTAAATAACTAGTTACATATACAGATTCTTGTTTCTTGTCATGTTCGTACATTTAATTTTGTTTCAGTAACACAACTTATAACCAATAAATAAATAAATATCTACTAAAACACAAAGACAACAAATGCAAATTTACCCTACGGAGCTCCCGTGTTGGTTCCAGGTAGTGTTCGAGGGGACGTGGGGCCCGAACAGAGCCGGAGGCGCCATTTCTATCGACGACATTTCCTTCTATGAAGGGCAATGCAGCAGTAAGTTTAACTGGTTATAGCATAAATGATATAAACTCCGTCTCAAGTGCAAACAATATATTTGTGTCTTTGATCTTGCTCCCTACACTACATGTTTCGGCCTCAGACGGCCATCATCAGGTGTATAACACTCACGTCGCTGTCACACTGCACCCAGTTCAAAATTTAACATCTAAAACACTCTCCCTGTCATTATCAACTTCTACTTCGTTGATAGCTGTCCACCCGTAGATTACTTCACACACGTTAATTTTGAGTTTATTGTAATAGCACCATAATAAAATCTTTAGTTCTAATTTTAAACCTTTAAATTCTTGTCCAAATTTTAAAATTTTAAAATTGTTAGGGTTATTCGCCCTGTGTTTGAAGTGCTGCAG